TATATATATATTTGTTTCATATAACACGCAATTATGCTATGTAGAATATGTGAGTCAAAGAATCGAAAGAAATTAGAAGCAATTTATGGTTTTTCCAAACCCTAGATTTCGAAGAAAAAAAAAACAAAAAATGGGAAAATTGCGGCTCAAAGCCGCGAGCCAAATATGGACCAAAACTGCAGCAGCCTTTTTTTTGGGCTTGCTGCGTGTGTATCACCAGGGCAGCATGCCTGGGTTCCTCACGTATGGGCCTGCAGCCCCAATCTGCGCCACTTCATCAGAAGCCAGACTTGCTGGGCTTCTACTCCCCGGCCTAAAAATTTGACATGGTCCACCTGCAGCAACTCAAGCTGCTAGCTTTTGTTTTGTTCTACAAGCACACTTTGCTAAAACACTTCTCATTTTGGGAAATTTGATTTCTAAATCATCCCTAGCAAAGATACAAAACAACTCATTTTTCACAGTGAATTCAAGGGAATATATGTGGACTAATTCAACCAAAATGCAGACCAAATAAATACTTATGGTTTTGGTTGATGAATCGACAAACTGGTCACATGTTTGTCCACACACATTACTGCTAAACCTCATGGCCAATTAAGGGTTCACCACCCTACTTATCCCTTAAGGTCCGGGAGACTGGATAATGCTGAAGAGTTTATATCAACATTTTTCGATAAAGTATTGCATGTCGTTTTGGGTTTATAATTGAACATCGAATTCCCATGTTCACCCCAAATAGCCTCACCTAATGATCATAAAGCACAATTTAAATGATCACCTGAATTTTGGTAAACGTAACAAGTTTTCAGTTTCTGCCTAAGGCTATGCAATCCTTGTACGCAGTTATGTTGGTCCGCCTTGAGGTCTATTGCCACCCAACCTCAATGACGTTACAGTTGGTTACTGGGTACGAACCTAACGATTTTCGTATTTACGCTTTTGGGTGAGCATTCCATGTGCCAAGTTGTGCCGCCGAAACGTACCACCATGGGTCCTCAAAGAAGGATGTGTATCTTTTGTCGATTATGATTCTCCTTCACACTAACTCTTTTCGAGCCCTTGCATGTGATCTCTTTACCGCTCATTTATGGGTTATCACTTTAATAAGACAGTCTTCCCGCCGTTAGGGGGAGATAAGAATTTCAACATTCCTGTAAAACAGCACGAATTTGCGTGGACGTTGCCCACTATGTCTCATCTCGATCCTCATACCGCACAAGTGTGATAAGCAAGTGTGATGAATTCTATATTTCAGAATGTTGCTCTAGGCGCATTCCTCTAATCTAGCTAAAGTGATGAGATCATATACTAGTTGTAAACATACCTACAAGGATAGACGTACTTAACGGACGTCGAGTCAACATCCCTAGAGGGTGTGCCGCCCCAGTTAGACGATTTGGACGCCCCTATTGGACGGGCTGGTACACCGGTGGATAGCCAATCAATCTGTCGTGGCCTGGAGCACAACAGATCATTCAATTCGTCAGATTCACTTCCCTAGAAGAGGAAGACACGGCACAACAATGAATCTAAACTCAATCGTTGTCTCAAATCATTTCCATCTCATCAGATTAATCCAGATTTCTCCAGAGACTTAAAGTTCTTGGTCCAGTATACTAGTTTGGATGAGCTAAATGGAATTGAAATGAGATTATCATCGATGATGTTTTCACTTATATGGTAGCTACCGACACAAATGAAAAGCGACGATATCGAACCGTGTTCCGTTGATTAAGTGACAACATAGAACTGATTAGACAACTAAAGTTACAATCCAGGTCAAATTCCTTACCAAAGTGTGTATTGGAACTGTCTTTCCTACACTACCCAAGGTAACCCTGTTGTGTTACACGTGGGAAAGGAAACCTTATGAGATGAATGAAATAGTGCGATATGATGCACGCCTTACGACGCAAGGTTTCTCTCAAAACGTCCTGTGATTGATAGCAGCATTATGAAATGTTGTTAATGTTTTCTCCATGGGGATATAGATACGGAGATTTACATGTAAGTTCTCGAAGAATTACATGAACTGTTTCAAATAGTTCCAAAACCACGGAACATCCTCTTAACTTGTTTTGAGGCGTTCACTTATGGTTTGAAAAATCTGACGGATGTGGTATACCTGTCTACGTGATTATTTGATCAGTCATGGATGAATTATACCCTTGCGTGTTAAACTATGAAGTCTTATTCCAAACTGCTAGAGTTACAGTATATGTCGTTAACACGAACCTCACTAAGACTCCGGAAGAGCTTGAGAAAACTACCTCGCACCTGAAAATGGAATTTGAGATGAAGGATCTTGGGAAAACTCGTTTATGCCTTGACCTGAAGTTGAAGCATTGTTTCAACGGTATTTTGGTCTACCAGTCGAACTACACCTCGAACGTGTCACCCTTGAGTATACCTTTGATCGTCTATACGTTATATGCAAATGTGACCCTTGAAGAGGTTATGGAATCCGAAATTCCATATCTAAAGTTCAACTTTACACTTCGTTGTGCTTAGCTCATTATATTTAGACAGGACATCTCCTTCGATGTTGATCTTGGTAAAGATGCAGTACCGCGCCTACACGCAACCACTGAATTGGTATTAAAGACGTACCCTGAAGGTACTACATGGGCAAATCCCAATGCATCTCAAGCGGATCCAACCCCCCTGATCCTTAGAAAGATGCTTGCCTTGTTTGTTATGCTGACGCTGGTTACTTATCAAACCTGCACAAGGCAAAATCCCCGGATGGTTATGTCTTTACCATTAGGGATATTGCAATTTCTTAGAGGTCCACGATATGACCTTAGTTGTGAAATCTTCGAATCGTTCCAAGACTCACCTCACTTCACTACCCCACAAGTGAGACATGGTTTGGAGTTCTTGTTAAGCATATTCGAAGTACTTGTTATGTTTTCATCCATTGTTGAGTCTCAACGATGATCTATGAAGATTATACCGCATGTATCAACCAGACCAAGCCATGATACATCAACGAACTCAACACCAAGACATATTGCTTCCACATCTACATCAGCAAAGCATCAAGAGATTGAAGTCATGCAAGCCGATCCCAGACAACTTTGCTGACCTCTACACGATGTCACTACTAAAGTCAACCTTCCAGAAGCTTGTCCGAGGAATTGGTATGCCTAACTATCATATGCAAATGCTTGTAGTTCTCATTTGGAAGTTATGTCAAACTCAGGGGGAGTATCCAGAAGTATACTCACTTGATCTTAATGTACTCTTTTTCCCTACGATTAGGAGCATTTTTCCCACTGGGTTTTTGCTACCTAACTAGGTTTTAACAAGGCACCCATCCTGGGCTGATCATACCCTTGTGAGCTCTTCTACTTGCGTCCAAAAGACGTATAGTTTTGACTTAATGCAACTTCTCACGTTTCTCCTTAGACTATGAGTTTTTCTCCCACCTTGGGTTTTACCATAGCAAGGTTTTGTGAGTTTTACTTTTTATGCATTCTTCTGTTGATTTGAGACTCGCATTCACTCATTGTTCCGACAACTTCATCAACTATACTTGCTTCATCACTGAAGATCTGGTGCACCATTTACTTGAGTATTTACACACTCAAGGGGGAGTGTTGCAATCCTATTGGAATATGAATGTGATTGTTTAAATCCTAGTAGATATGAGAATGTATCTTATATTCCTATTAGGAGTAGATTACCTATTAAATGTTGTAATCCTAAATGGAAAAGTTTTTACCTATCCTACTACTATAAATAAAGGCATAATGAAGTGGAATAGAACACACCCACAATTACACATCTCTCTCTTCTTCTCTATGCTGCACCTTCCCTCTCTCTCTGGCCTCCATAATTGTTCAGTAAATTATGCCTACAACAATATGTATGTATTTATATATATAAGATAAAGAAAATAGACGCGGTTTAATGGTAATTTCATGCATGTGTGCTTCTATCTCCATGGCCAATAGTGATTTTAGACTTTGAGAACTCATTTGAAAGTACTTAGCTGAAAGTATTTATGGTGAAAGACTGAAAGTACTTTTGAAACTTATTTTTAGTTGTCAAAGAATCTTGGAAAAACATTTGACATAACTAATGCTTTTTCCAGAAAGCACTTCAAGTGCTTTTGAAATCTAAAGTTATTTTCTCTAAAAATGTTTTCAGACATTTTAAAAGCATTTCCAAATGAGTCTATAATCTTAACAAAAAACATATTTGCTAATACTCATTAAAAGTGTTATCGGATTTGCAAAAGCACTTTTTAGATCATTAAACACACTTGAATTCAGTAAAAAACTAGTTCGTTTGGATTGATTTTACAAGGAACACATGTTCATAACTGTTATTTTAAATTTTTTTTATCAAACGTAATCATAATACAATCCATATATGATGTACGTTTTACACTTCAAGTTCAAAGTTCAAACCATATCACAGGACATAATGTTTTTCCACCTCGAAATCATGACTGCAACAATTCCCACAACTCTGAACCTTCGCCTAGTCAAAACTTACACTTCTTCCACATCTCTGAGCCTTCTGTTAATTAAACTGCACCGCTCCTCTTCTTCAACCTCGGCCCTTTGATATCTCCGCCAACGCCTGAGTTGGTGGCGAAGGACCCGATAGAGGTAAGGGACTACGCCAGTGTACACGTCCCTTGCCTCCCTCTGCATTCCTAACTCTACTCGAATCTGAATAGGGAAATACTGTTTCATTCAATTGCTTGCTTGTAAGCATTTTATATGAGCTCAACTCAAGGCAGAGGGACATTCATGCACGCACGTCCCTTCCCTTGTATAAATAATGGACAACAAGCCGGCTGTTTGCCTGTTGGTTTGAAACAGACTTTCTAATTATATATATAGACACTGCCGGATGAGCGAACGCACATCAAGCGACTAATCACAAGTGGGGTCCTACAGTGCATCAACAATCGATAGCCGCCCTTGAGAGCACGGCAGCCATTGCTAGCGCAACTCCAAATCAAATTGCAAAAGATGACAGAAGTAATAAAGAGAGCTCATATAATATTCCACAACATGCCTAACAAAGCAGGTAGTTTGAGGTACAATGTAGACCCAGTTTGACAACAAACATTAAAACCGCCTTGACTAATACAAGAGAAACTAAATAAACAAAACTTGGAACAGTTTAAAGAAATAGAAACAACCATATTCACAGAAAAGAGTGCTTGTATCATCCTACGCAATGAAATTTTTTCTTCCAATAAATCTACAGATCCGATGAGTTCTTCAGACATTTCATGGAAATGCACGGGAACAACTCCTTTCGATAGCAGATCACCTTTCTCCTCTTCAATCAAATTTTGAATGAGAAGCTCATCTCGGCTAAGAAGCTGACAATACAGAAGGTCGGTGCTTCCAAACAACTGGCAATCATAACAGCGGCTGAGGTGTGTTGTCAATGCTGCACTGGTACTAGGAACAAAGGTTAAACTGACATGACAGAATCTGCTGAGTAATCTTCTGAAACCACCTACGCCACATCATAAGCTGACATCAGAGAAAGCCCAAACCTCTCACATCAAGCAGATCCAGAGGCACACACAATGAAGCAGCATCAGTATATTACAGGACATTCAAGGTGGGGACAGCAGCACCTTCAACTGACTTAATTGTACATGATACCGTCCTAGATGCAACAACGCACATCTTGAAACTTCCAAGGATAAAAAATAATCTTGAAGTCCACTTAAAAGTTGAACTAGAACCTTAAAACCATACTAAAACAAGGCAAAGGGCTATCAAATTCCTTGTAGTTGTAATCAATTCTGCTTATTCACACAATCCAAGTCAGGGCATCGCCTTTACCTCCAATGCCCTGCCAAATTATGAACACATGAGAGATTCCCGCATTGAGAGATATTTGTGGATAGGCATACAGGACTCAGCAAAGATTTCTTAGATATATCAAACAGAACCAGATTCAGAGTTCCCCGAATCAGCCTTGGAACCATCACTATATGCTTGAGGAATGCTCTTTTCACACCGCCTTGCATCAGATGCGACTTCTGAAGCCACATACGATTTGTTTTTAACCTCACTATCAAGTTGAATATTCAAATCACAATTATTGGGCAAGGAACTCTCATTAGCACCACCGAAACTGGAATCTTGATTTCCATTAACTTCCTCCGCAGGGTTCTTGGCAAAAGTTTCTCCTGAAGAAGGAATAGGCTGAAGACAGGAAGCATCAGCATTCTCTTCATGGGAATCATCCAGCACTGGTTTGTCTTCTATTGCTGGAGCCTCACCAGGACCCTGAGAGGTAGACTGCATTTTATCTTCGACAGGAGAATCCAGCGCTGGCTCATCTTCTAGTGCCGGAGCCTCACCAGGGCACTGAGAGGTAGACTGAGTTTTATCGTCAACAGGAGAATCCAGCACTGGCGTATCTCCTGTTGCTGTCTCGTGGGTTGTATTAACAGGGCATTCCTTGTCCAAAGTAGATCCAGGTAATTCGGCCCCAAAAAGAGAGTCAGAAGATACACTCCTCTCAGTGGAATCTAAACTTTTAAGTTCATCAGAACCATCTAAAGAACCACTCATCACAGGAGTATCATTTAAGGAGACACCGAGACATCGAGAACCAGAAACCATAGCAGTACCTTCATCAAATGTTTCATTAATGTGAGGCAAACTGGTTTCATCAGATCCACGAGGATCAATACTAGCAGGTGAACCACTATCTGATTTGCTTCCGTTCCCATGCTTTATTAAATCTTTGCCTTTGCATTCTAATTGCTTTACGCCTGTTGCAAGGGAAAACACAGGGAAAAGGAAAATCGATGTCAGAGAACAGGCTAATATTGTGATTAAGGAAGAGCAAAATACAAGTTTAAAAGAAAACCTGGGTCTGTTGTCATGTTCCCCTCATTTCCTTGATCCACAAGCAACTTCTGTAGCATGTCTATACCAGGGAATACTAGCATATTCATTGACCTCATTTCTTGCTTGAATGATTCCTCAACAGGAATAAAACCAAAAACTTCTGTCCATGTATGCATGAGTTCAGCAATTGCAGGGATAACCAATTTCTCAACCTTGAGAGAGCATAGAGCCTTCAAAATAGAGAGAACAAGACCAATCAAAAGCCATTTACAAAACACAGCAGGTAAGACCACAACCGAGAGCCAGAATCATTTTGAATATTTTTTCGGGAAAGTAAAATTACAGAAAGAGCATGGCTCACATAGCTTACCGATTCAATGGCACAAAAAAGCCGACGGCACATCCCTTGTCGCCTATATATGTGGCGAGTTCCTATGTATGGCATCTCTGCTAACTTTGTACCATGAAACCTAACCAGAAGCAGATTAGATATTTTATAAGAATTTGTTTTCATGATAAACCGAAAAGCTAACCATAGATTGCCATAACCAATTTAGGGTTATATAACCCATGACCCATGACTCTTTGGAGAAACTGAAAAAAAGATGAACTGGGGCAATCCAATAATCAATAGAAGTAAAAAAGCAAACACGCAGCCTAAGAAAATGAAAAAATGAATATTTTACAACTAAGATATAAAAAGCTATCAAATATGAGAATATACCTGATTGATGCAGCAGAAATTATTTCATCACCTCTCTCTAAAATAGCAGTGTAGAAGCCACTGTAGTTCAGCCGATTGAAGTTTGATCTAAGAAGAAAATGGGCCAAAACAATTCATTAGCCAAAAATCCAGCAGCTCATCTTACACGCAAAAAAATCATCTAAACAGCGTACTTGTACCGAGTTTGCAATTTTTAATTAATCTTGGAAAGCCAACACATTACTATTTGTAAATGTAACACAACACAAGATACACAGACATTTATCTTGTATTTCAAAAACTAAAGACCCCCACCTTCAACCTGGTGTGTCATGATCCAGAAAAGATAACCAGGTCTTATTCACGAAAATTACATAGTTGAAAAGCAAACTTTCTCAACTGTCAACTAACACTTACCCACAATTATAAAGAACATTATGAATTAAATTGATGCTGCTCCTCCTGTCAACAATAGGCAAAAAGCATTCATCCATAACAGTCAAAGCAACAGCAAGCTTAGAATTGCATTCGATCATCTGCGGGAACCCTTCATCTTCATCAGTTCTATGAACAAGTGTCCATGAAAATCCTGCTTCTAGTTCATGTTTGACCCCAAGATACTTCTTCAAATTCTCAAAGAGCTAAAGAAAAACAAAATTAAAGTTAAACAGTGCATTAAAAAGAGAGAACAAAAGTTACAAGAGGTTGCATGGGAAGAAAATTAAAGTTAAACAGTGCATTAAAAAGAGAGAACAAAAGTTACAAGAGGTTGCATGGGAAGAAAAATAAAGTTAAAACAGTGCATTAAAAAGAGAGAACAAAAGTTACAAGAGGTTGCATGGGAAGAAAAATGTCATTAGTACATCAATCTAAAACATATGAGATTTTGTTAAGGAAAAAGGTCATAATAGGAAAATAATAAGACGATTATTTCACAAACGATTTACCAACATTTACAGTTTTATAACACTTCATAACTTGACATTTAGGTAATTGATAAAAAAAATTAACACTTCGCTGAATTCAAAAAATTCCTTCATGACTGACGAGGATGAAAATGTCAATATCCATGGAAATACTGATCATTCATATCTGTAGAAATATTGACATTGATGGAAACATCGGTAACAAAAACAAGGAGAAATTTCTTTAAAATATGAAAGTTGTGAATAAACTTTAAGATCGATGAAGCATCAATTTTGTGGTAATCAAATCCCCAGTTATTGAAAAGCAAGAACAATTCAAATCTAATACACGGTAACCAGACATCAAGAAACATTCATTTTCTTCCTCTTTGTTTTCTACTTTAGTACTTCTTCTTCCACTACTTCTGTTCACACTGGATGTGGTAGTTGGGTTTCTAGGGGCAAACCAAAAGCTACCTTTGATCCTTCTACAGCTTCAGCTGATGGAAATATCATTGACATTTCCACCAAAAAATCCATCTTCCTCACATCTTTGAGCCCGAAATCAAACTAAGATTATACATGTTCCATTGGAATTTGGACAGAACTTTAGGGATCAACCCCTCAAACCCCTGAAATCCTGATATATCAATTTTGTCATCCTTGGTGGACGCCATTTTGTCTCGTGACTTGATGTTTGCATAGAGGTTATATTTTTAGGTTATATTTTACATCCATTTAATCCTCAAGAGTAGAACTGCGGCTGCTATAGAGATGAAAAGGAATCTCTCCAGGGCAATTAATGCTGGCCAGGGATAAATGGGAGATGGTTTGGCCAATGGCAATGACAATAACAAAGAGTAATAATGCTTGATATTTTTCAAGGTGACAAACCACATGTATTGTGGTCAACTACCTATTATGTGACCAACCTACATATATGGGAAGGCGTGTGATAACTGATAACTGAAACAAAATTTGGCCGGAAATTATTAGAAATTTAGGTCTTACCCCCAACTGGACATTATTAGTTTATAATTTCATATCCTAAGAACTTCGATACTTACAGTCACACCTCATGAGCATACATATCAAGTAAATAAAATTTCTGAAACCACAAATGAAGTGATACCTCTCTGCATTTCTGCCCACAGAATGAAGAGTCTAAACTAGGAGAATCAGCAGGACTACCATCCATCTCCTGACAGCATGATATGTGACCTGCAAAAGCAGAAAATCATATTTCAAGCAGCGCATCTGCAAGCAGTGGAAAGAAATAAAAAAAAACCATATGTGCAGATGCCAAGAATTTCAAAAGCAAGGAAACAATGATGAGTACATTTTTTCCCACAGAGGCTGCAAGTGAGCAGTGCATCAACAGTTGTATCATCCTCTTCAACAACATTCTCATTTGCTAACCCACAAAATTTGCATGTACAATTTGGACAGTGCCAATCACCTGGAGGAAGCATCTGCAATGAGAAAAAAAAGTATTAATACCTAATCATGAGTGTACAATCAGAATGAAATTATTTTGCAAGTTCACAAAAGTACAAAGGAAAAAAAAATTGACAAATACTAACACTGTCTTAGCTCGCATTTTAGTGTAAACTGGATCAAATTTGTATCCACAACTTTCAGAGCCTAAACAAATCTAAACAAGATTTTCCTTTCCAAAATTTACATGCAATATCTTTGAATTGATGATATAGCACTCTGAACAACTAAAATTACAACTGAAACACAAAAGCTCAACCATAACAGCAAAGTAGTTTAAGCATGACTGCAAAAAGGCAGTCTCCCTCTCCAAACATATATGAGTTACAATCCTAATAAAGAGCATCAGAAGTGTTTGGAGTGTTTGGAGCTAACTCAGATCATTCAACCTCTCTCTCCATTGATCCATAAAATTCACGTATTACGATACCCGTGTCTTCCCCCAAAAAAAATAAAAGCTACCCGTGTCAAGACTTACGAAGAATGATTTCCCATGCCACAAAAAGACACAACAAATGCCACAATGCATATACAAAATTACAGATGTTACTACAGCCTTCATCAAAATAAAAAGAAAAAGAAAAAGATGTTACTACAATCGCTAAACCTTTTCTTTCAAAAGTAAACCTCACTTCACCGGACTTCATAGGTAGAAGGGAAAAATTAACCCAATGACCCAAAATATATCACAAAAGAAAATGATTGCAGAAATGGACTGTTGAAAATATACAGCGCCAACATATGCTGCACTCTGCAGAAAAATAACGCAACATACCCGTATATTCAAGCAGCTCTGATGAAATGTTGATGGACAGCTATCGCAACAGATCAAATCCCCGCCATCCCCACAGATGCCACAAGTATCATCATCTGGATCGTCACCGTCGACTTCTACGGAGTGGAAGCCAATGCGTTCAGTAGCTTTTTGTCGATTCCATGCATCTAATTGACACTGCAGAAGGGAAACGCCAGAGTCCAAACATATATTTTGAAATGGCTGGCGCAACTTGCTTCCTGCATGAATCTCAAATTTTGAAGTTGTGAGGATTTTACTACAGCAACCGCAGTGAATTCCATCTCTTGTAATCCACCCCTCCAGCATTACTTTAGTCCTTCGGCGATTCATATACTGCACCTTTTGGCTCAATTGAACAGTTCCTGAGTCAATCAGCCAGGAAAGCAACGTCCGTTTCCCAGTATATGGAACAAAGCCATCACTTTCCGAGTTGACCCCATAATTAGAACCACGAACCAACAAAGTACACCTTCCAAGCTTTCTACTTTTCCTTTCATGTGGCATATGCGAACTTGATCCTGAAGACGGTTTTTCAATACTTTCGTGTGGATGATTTGAGTTCACATTGGCCAAACCATTTTCACTCATTTTACCCTTGAACGACTTACCACCCTGCTTCAAGTAGGTGCTTAGTTTCTCCTCATAACTAACACTATCCATGCTCTCTGGATCACGCTTGATACTTGCGGATCTTTTCATACGGACTCCTCTCGCATTTTCACCCTCAGCATCAGCTCTTTGCTTCCTTTTCATTTCTTTCTCAATCTTCTTTCGAGTTTTCCTTGTTAATTGGCTGAGTACATCATCAGTTATAGGTTGAACCCCACTAGGTTTAGCCTCATTTTCCTCCTCATTCAATTGCTTTTGAAGCGCATCATAAGCCTTAATGATGGACCAGTAAGCTGTACCTGCTGGGTTAATGTACACAGCATCTAGATAGTCTCTGTTCCTTCTAGGCCTATAATCTATTGTCCAGCCTGCACTCAGAAGCATCTCTCGTATTCGTTCACGTAGTTTTTGCTTTTCCGTGCCACTACCACGTTTAACTTTACCTTCTTTGATTCTGGATGGAGGAGTCTTTTCACATGAAGGAGCACCTTCATCTTTGCAAACCACCCTCTTCACAGGTTTAGAGGCTTCCACACTCTTTGGTCCTAGTTTCAATGATGTATCACTATCCTCTGAATCCCAGTCGGAGCCCTTACTGTTCAAAGAAGGCAATGATTTTCGCACATTCGGATGGTTTTTCACTGTCCTAACCACTGAAACTGATTTCTCAAGAAGCTTTGGTTCAGAGTAAAATGGAGGGATAATAGCACTTTTTGCAATATTGTCACTCAGAGCCCTTCTATTTTCTTCAGATTTGCGAAAATTATAGTTCTCCAGCGGCCCACCTGCATTCTTTTTCTTCTTCACCATGACCTTCAAAACACCATTTTTACCCTGTAGCCTAATGGATTCCTCTGATTGACCTGTGAACTTGTCTCTCAATAAGGGTAGCTGAGCTCCATCCCTATTCATCTCAAACCTACCCCTGTCAGTATGATCTCGGTTCAAGCTAGTTGTCCTGTCAAAGTACAAATTCTTCCTCTTGTCAACTACATGTCTTCTTGAACCACTTTCAAATTCCCTCTTAATGCCACTTAGTGGCACAGGAATCGCTCCTGAAAACCTTCTCCCCCCAAACTCACCTACCCCATCATTAAACCGTTTCCTTCTCGAAATCTCTGCATCATACTCATCAAATTCATACACCTCCAACTTACTTCTCTTTCCACCACTCTCATCCAAATAACTTTTACCAATCATGCCATCCTCGCTATGCCTAACCGGATCAAATCTCTCCCGCTTTTGACTAAATTCACTATCTTCAGCAATGCCCTTATCTACAGCTCTTAAACCATTGGAAACCCGTATAGTTTCAGGTTCCACCTTTCTACGAGGAGGTATCTCATCACTAGACCCCGAATCGCTCAAGACCAACCTCGACCTCTTCTTGTCCTTGGGTTCAAAAACCTTCCGAGCACTCGAAGAACCAACAGCACCACTCAACCCCTCGGGTTTCTTCCTCACAATTAAACAACCAGAAGAATTTTTCTTCACCAAAACCCCAGAAGGGCCAACAGATCTCACACCTTCGTCCATCTACATCAACCGCCCGAAACCAAAAAACCCTAATTTTTCAAAACCCCGCCCTTCAATTCATCCCAAACCAAGCAAAATCCGACACAGAAACCCTGATTCTCTCACAGCAAAAATCCCCTAATCAAAACCCACCAGATCTGTACCAAAACATCCTAAATGCTTATACTTTAATCTCACAAATCCCAAAAACGACACCGTCCAATTGAAAGGGCAAAGGAAGATTTCAAAAAAATCTTACCTCGCCGGAGAGTCTGGAACTCCGCCGATTGAAGACGTCCGATCGCCGTCGCAATTCTTCGAATCAGAGAGAGAGGGGAAGGTTCAGACGGAGAGAGAGAGAGGGGGAGAGAGAGAGAGAGAGAAGGGGCTGGGTTTGGATTGTAAATATATGCAATTGCCACTTTGTAAATTACAAAATCACAGCCTTTCTTCCCTGTATTTTTTCTCCTTTTATTTTTTCTCCTTTTATTTTTTCCCCTTTTTCTGCAGATTTTGCATTTATGCGTTTACTTTAATTTTCCCAGATTTCCCTCCAAATCTTCACACGAGTCTCGGGCGCGACAGCATGAACGGTGCATGATGCGTCCACGTCGGATGAATCTACAGCGTCTGTGGGTCGGGCACATGACGTGGCGGGGTTGGAGTGGGAGCGGGACACGGGATCGGAAGCTGTTTTTACAGTTTGATTCCTGCTTTATGTTGTTTGTTGTGGATTCTCGTACGGAGTTGAAACTCTTGCGATCGTATTTGTTAGGTTTATCAACCTCCTTTTTTCACCTGGGAACTAAAATACGACGTCGTATATGTTGTTTATAGACGGAAAATAAGTAAAAAATTTAACCTGCGTTCCACGCGCCAAGGAGAGAGGGGAGTGAGCGCGTGGGGGAGAGTGCATAGGCAATTGGGATCTTTGCATGGATTCTGCTATTGGATAAAAATTTAAAATAAACAAATAAATAAATAGGGTAATTAAAAGGAATGAGAAAAGAGTGCATGGGGTGGGGCTTTCTATGCTAAGGCCAACTCCAAGAGCAACTCCACTTTTGAAAATCAAGATGGGAAGAGTCTATTCAATTCATTAAAACTAGCATATGGGCACATACAAAATGTGTGAGAAATTTTTTATTTTTGTTTTTGAAATAGAAGGAGGAAGGAAGAAAGTGATAGAGAATGTGGGAGTGGAAAGTTTATTTATTTATTTATTTATTAATAATTAGATATATGTTAGGATTTTATGTAGGTGAGACTTAAAAAAACAACAAAATTTTGTTGTGTGAAATTACATTTCTGCCCCATAATTCTTATTCATGTTCTGTTTTAATTAGAGGGTTAAACTGGTAATTTCATAAGGTTTTGGTTGACAATGAGTGTTTTATTAATTAGTAGAAATAAATAGTAATTTATTGCAATAAATAGTAAGTTAATAATTGTTTAAGTGTATCGTTTTTCGTACCAAATTAATAGCCTAGTTAATTTGTAACATCCCACATCACCCAGAAAAATGGATCATGTAAGCCTTATATGTATATTATCATATCTACCTAGCACGAGGCTTTTGGGAGCTCACAAGCTTCGAGTTCCATCGGAACTCCGAAATTAAGCGAGTTCGCGCGAGAGCAATCCATGATGTGTGACCCACTAGGAAGTTCTCGTGTGAGTTCCCAAAAACAAAACCGTGAGGGTGTGGTCGGGGCACAAAGCAAACAATATCATGCTACGGTGGAGTCGAGCCTGGGATGTGGTGGGGGCCCGAGCCGAGATGTGACAATTTTGTATCAAAGTCAATCCATGTCCTGAAGTGTGCCTACAAGGACGTCGGGCCCCTAAGGGGGGTGGATTGTAACATCCCACATCACCTAGGGGAGTGAATCTTGTAAGCATTATATGTATATTCTCAGATCTACCTAGCATGAAGCCTTTTGGGAGCTCACTGGCTTCGAGTTCCATTGGAACTCCAAAGTTAAGCGAGTTCATGTGAGATTAATCCCATGATAGGTGACCCACTGAGAAATTCTCGTGTGAGTTCCCAGAAACAAAACCGTGAGGATGTGGTCGGGGCCCAAAACGGACAATATCATGCTACGGTGGAGTCGAGCCCGAGATGTGGTGGGGGGCCAAGGCGGGATGTGACAATTTGTATTAAAATATTTTTTTTATAAAATAATAAAAAAATAATTTTATTTTTAATTTCGAATATAATTTTTAACCAATTTTGTCATGTCACCTGTCATTATCCGAAAGTGCAATTTTTGTGTAAGATGGTTTAGGTATTTACATAAAAAATTCGTTTTATTTTTTCTGTATTTTTAAACATTTTTTATTAAATTAAATAATCTAGACCATTGGATTTCAAAAAGGTTGAAATCCAACAACCCAAAAGTGGACACATGGCCAATGGTAACTTCATCTGACATTTTCAATTTTTTTTTATAATCTGGAACATGCTCCCACGCGCCAGCCGCAAAAGAATTTCCCTCACATAGTTGACGTCATGTGGCCCGGTTTCTTGCTCATTCCATTTTGTGTTGGGCTCAAAGCTGGCCTCCACTTTGGGCCAGCTAATTGGATGGGGTAGAGTGGATTTTTGGGGGGCTAAGGGGAGAAATTGGCTATTGCCCAACTCATTTGTTAGGGGTGGATTTGCTCTAATGAAGTGAGATAAAGGTTTAAAAGTTAAAAAATAGTCTGATTTGTCTAGAAATTCATCTCCAACCGATGACTGGCTATAATTCTATAGAGCCCAGTAGGCCATTATTTAGTCAAATGAGCATCAGGGTGGCCAAATGTATCCCATTTCTTAGCCTCTTTTTTGGGGTCCAGCTTCTTAGTTTCAATAATTGATTTAAATTCAACAGCTACGTTTGAAAACATCTAATGGTAGTTTAATTACATTAACCCATAAAATTTAAAGTATAAACTTAAAACTAATAAATTATTAAGAGGCTATGTTTAGCCCATTCGGTTGAAGATGGTATATGAGTATGGCCTGATAGTATTCATTTTAAAATAACTTTTTACAGGGTTAGTGATATTCATCTTCTTTTGGAAGTGAGAGGTCTTAGATTTAAATCTCGTGAATGGCAAATTCGATATTAAATTAGACTACCCATTGTGTAGCTTAGCCAAACTCCCCTCCCCTCAATGTAAAAATATCAATGTACTAAAAAAAAAAATATATATATATATATATATATAACAAGTATAAAATTTTGAATAAGATTATGTTTAGCCTTTTCGGTGAGATAACATAGCTTCTCTTAGTTTTTGTTCTAGGTAAAAGAACTAAGGCTGGTTTGGCAACTCAGATTGTATTGACTATTTTAGTAGGATATGATAAATAGTCGTCGGATAATATTTACTAAATTAGTCGGACGTTTGGTGTTGTGTCGGATTAATTTGTCCATCGAATAATACGTCGGACTATAATAATTTTTTTTTAAAATCACATAATAATTGTTGTTAAAATGAAAAAAAAGGAGAAAAACAAAAGAGAAAAAAAGTAATTAAACATCATTAAGACAAAATTAAAAAAAATAACTTAGAAAAAAAAAAGGGTGAAAAACCCAGGAGTCTTCCCGCGTGTCTTCCTTTCTTCACCATCTTGCCAACTACTAATTAAATTGAAGATCCAAATTGATGAAGAAAAGAAATCAATTCGTGGCATGGTCCGAGTTAGTTGGAGTTGTCGAAGCTGGATCCAACACTGTCGGTGGCAAAAGATGACTGAGCTGCTAATCCTGTTATTGTTGACGATCGATCGGGTTTTTTTTATCTCAACTACCTTTTCGTCCACATCTTCGTGTTTCGACGTCACCGGCTGAAACGTGACGAAACAGGAAGCGACGACCGATTGCAGAGGAGTGGCTGTCAGCGTTGAGAACTCGTCAAGGAACTGCTCGTGAAGATGGAGCGAATTCGCCAAGGAGCAGAGCAGTGAAACCGAAGAGGGGAAGCGAGTGTGTTTTCGTTTAGCGCCCCTGACTAATAATACCAAGCTTTGGGTTGTATTAATTGTCTGGTGTCAGCCGTACTAAATTTGATGGATGTATAATTAAGCGGATGCTTATTTAGTACAACAGTGCACCAAACAACTGCTACCGTATTATTAATCCTATTTGATGTTTAATACGACATGCTAAACGAAGCCTAAGAAGTTGGAGGCTTTTTTTAGTTGGTGATTGATTGACATCATAAAGGTTTTTCTTTTTTTTTTTTTTTTTTGAGTTTTGCACTCTCTCATTTTTTTTATTTTTTTTACGTCTTAACAGTTGAAATTGGACTAAATCTCAACCCTTTTTTAATTTTTAATCAACTAGAACACCGAGGTCATGGATCATAATCATGCACGTTTCATCCAAGCTTGATTTTCATATTTTAGATTATTTTTCAAGTCTAGTTTTGCCATCGTATTGTATGAGGATGGGGATGATTCATATTGGAAACTCTTCTAAAAATGAAAGAGATGTACTAATAACCTACGAATGCTGATAGCGATTTTACCACTTGTAAAACAAAGGGTTAAACCATAGAAAATTCTTGCAAGAGAACAAGTGTTTGTAGTATAGAATGTCTCTAGTAAGGTCGATCTCCTCAGGGACTGATATAAACAATTTACGAGTTTTTGTGTATTTAACTTATTTAACTCTAAGAATTACACTAATTTGACGAAACTAAATATTACTAGATGTGACTTAAACAAATATCTAAAATGGGAATTGGTTTATGGGAATAATGATTCAACTTAAACAAAACAAGCAAATAAGGAAATTCAAAATAAAATAAATGATTGAAGAAAAATAGATTGACAATATGCTAGAGTTCAACCTTTACCAACAACACTCCTACGTAGCTATTCCAATTGCTTAAATAATTGAAAACATACATGCTTTGAAGGTTGGATTTTCCTTTTGTATGTTTTACTTGTGACATTCAAGCTAAAACGCATACCACTACATGCAACTTATCCATGACATTTGGATTAAATATAAACATGAGTGATTCATTAATCTTGGTGAAAATCCTTTTGTTAAACCATATAATCCCTAAGATGATATTTACCTTAGGAGAGTACAATTCTCAATCACAAGAAGCACAACCAATTTTAACGTGACATTCGTTCAAAATTACATCCGATAACTTTTCTAAGCATCCTAATGGTGATCAAGCATCAAGGTACGTAGATAGTTTAATTCAGTGATTGAAAATATCAAAGCAAGCATGTAACAACACTTAAGCAATTGAAAAATAAACTACGTATTCATATTGCGGCTCATGGCCTCACTCTAGCATAATAAATTAGTTACACAGAATTATGTTCATACATAAGAAATTATCCATAAAACAAAATAACAAAGAAAGAAAACACCCGTTTTAACGAGATGAGCTCTCCGTTGCTCCTGACTTCCCTGCGCCTGGTCACTGCCTTCCTCTTGCTGCGTACTTCCGTCTCGTTCCTGCGCATGTACTGCTCTCACCTCCCCGCTCGATCTCCCCCGTCTGCTCTGTTATGCTCCCTTATATTATTTCCCCTTTTCTTCCTTTTGCCGTGCTATCCCCTCTGTCATTCTTTTCCTTTTGCTTTTGATGCCGTGCTCTTCTGCCATCCTTTGCTCTTATTTTTTCTTTTATTCTTCTTCTGTCACTCCATGTGTCTTCTCTTTTCTTATTCTTTTCTGTTCTTTTATTCTTCCACTCATCTCTGTCTGCTATTCTTCTTTCTGTCCATGTTCCATCCTCTTTCTCCTGCTTTATTTTCTCTCATGCCGTGGTCTCTTCCTCTCTTTTAGTCTCTCTGTCCCGCCTTTTTCTTATTTTTATCCTTTCTTTTCTCTTTTCTGCTTCTTATTTTCTTTGATGCCGTGCTGCCATCCTTCATGTGTGCCTTCTGCCCTTTCTTTTCTTTAACAAAATGGGCCATGATATGATCAAGCACCAAGGCTACAAGTGGAAGGCCAACTCATCCCACTCTTTTCTACCATCTTTTCTTTCCCACATTCGTGTGCTGCCCTCCTGTCATTCTTTTGTCCGTGTCTTCTCTTTTCTTCATTTTAATTGAAATTGATCCTAAAATAAATTTAACTTCACATTAACACAAGGTAAGGTAAAATACCACAATTTTAACACAAAAACATCACAAAGATTTTAGAAATGGATGGTATAAATGCATGAAATATATGAGTGATCAAATACCCCCAAACTTGCATTTTTGCTAGTCCTCTAGCAAAACAAAACAAACTCAACTAAGACTAGATTCAACAACTTAGTAGGCAACTTCTCAATTACGATTTCAGAGATAAGTGCTAATCATGAAACAAACAACCAAGAATTAATCAAGAGCTCAAAACATCATCCAATAATTAACCAAATTTCCTTCAAACAAAACGTTGAAAAGCCATGTGTGAGCTAGTCATGTCAATGCAATTCCAAGCTCCTTTAAATCATCATATGCAAACATGTGAGATTCTCACAAGACATACGCTCATTCACTCATAAGTTTTGGTTAATGTGTTTCACTCAAGTGATCTCATTGTACATGCCGTCATATGCTTGCTTGTCCACCTAACTCGCTATCAATATTTAAGTAATACCTTGGATCAATAGGACTTTATTACGGTTGTAATGGGGCTAAAGGTGATAGGCTAATGAAAGAAAGGATATGGAAATCAAAAATTTTGAGAAAGTACACTTTAGTAGTTTTCCAACACCTCAATATCACACCACTTCAAATTGAAAGCAAAATAATAAAACCTCGAGCACCTGTTACTCCCCAAATTTAACTTTAAAATGAAATTTATACTCTACCGACACATTTTCAACAATTCAACACTCTCCAATTTTCATATATATATATATATTTCTTCTTCTCTTTTCTTTTTTTTTTTTTTTTTTTTTGAGAGAAACAAATCTGCAAAAGCTACATCACCCATCAAATTCACATTTCATTATAATACACATGCTCCATCCATCTTTCTACATAAATGAAACCCCCAAAAGCACAACCCATGTAATACTTTCTCAAAACAATAAGGAATCGATTTTTGTGTATGGGCTCAACTCCAATATTGGAGCAAGGTAAAGAGATGTGGCTAACAAAGACATGGCTTAGTTAAAGTCTCAATGGGCTACTACGGATAAACATAGCATATAAGGTAGGCATGAAAAGCTCAAACGATCCAAAGATGGCCTATATCACTTCCAAGTTATTACATGAATTGATTAATGAATCGAGTAGTATAAAGCAAGTTCTAGAGATACATGTACAATGAGATCATACGCACAAGAAGGAATGAGATTGATGCATAATGGTTCAATCATGTATAGGCTCAAAAACTCACAAGGTTTACATAATCTCACATGATTCACATATGAAATGCTAAATCATGCTCAAGTTTCACATTGACAAGACTAGACACATTTATTTTTCAAGTTGATTTTGGAAATCACAGCTAACACAAAGACAACGAAAAGAACTTAGACTTCTTGAAAGTAAGAAGGAAATTAAATCAAATCTCATCATTGAATTGAGAAGTAGCTACAAACAACAATAAAAATGCAAAAACTTTTTTTTTTTTAATTTAATAAATAAACTAACGAAATATATTTCCACCCCCAAACTTAATTATAGCATTGTCCCCAATGATAATGAAAGGAATTTTTGAACAATAAGACATAAAAATGGAAGGAAAGAAATATAAAATGAAATAAAGACACAAAAAGAAAAGGAAAGAACACACCAATTTGTGTAGGCGAGGAGAGCAAATGTGTGAGTCATTCTTCTCTGCTTGTTTCTTCTACACTTCACGAGCATTCTACTTTACCAGAAATCGTCGACAGATTGCCCGTAATTTCCGCAAAGCAGACTCTGCATGTGACAGATGTTGACACGTCTGGAAAAGCAGATTCCTCTCCGATTTCTGAGCTTGCCTCTTCGAAATCTGAGCTCCGTCGAGTGCAGAGGTTGCATGTGACGAGTACGGACAAATCTGGAACAAAGGATGGCCCGTGGTTTCTGAGCAAGCTCAGCTTTTGAGAAAGCGAACGTCGCTTTGATTTTTTTAGTTGGCCTCTTCGATATCTGGAATTGCTTCTTCGATCTCTGAAATCCCATCGCGTGCTGATTTTTATAGAGGTATGGAGAACGTTCAAAACACACTTGAATTTCTGCCTGTAAAAACTCCCTCTTTGCATTTCTACGATTTTGACTTGTCCGACCTCTTCTTTCTTTACCACCTCTGAAAAATGTCTGGCCCTTCCGACCGTCGTTTTGACTTGAACCTTGGTGAAGAGGCAGCTCCGCCTTCTCCAGACAACATATGGCGCCCATCCTTCATATCCCCTACTGGCCCCCTTACCGTTGGGGATTCGGTGATGAAGAATGACATGACAGTTGAAGTGGTGGCCCGGAACCTTGTCACTCCTAAAGATAACAGACTGCTTGCAAAACGGTCTGATGAATTGGCTGTTAAGGAGTCTCTGGCTCTCAGTGTGCAGTGTGCAGGTTCTGTGTCCAACATGGCCCAACGCCTCTTTGCCCGAACCCATCAAGTTGAATCGTTGGCGGCTGAAGTGATGAGTCTCAAACAGGAGATTAGAGGGCTCAAGCATGAGAATAAACAGTTGCACAAGCTCGCACACAACTATGCCACAAACATGAAGAGGAAGATTGACCAGATGCAGGAATCTGATGGTCAGATTTTACTTGATCATCAACGGTTTGTGAGTTTGTTCCAACAGCATTTACCTTCGTCTTCTGGGGCTGTACCGCGTAGTGAAGCTCCAACTGATCAACCTCTGATGCCTTCTCCTTCTGTGGCCCCGCCGACTGCTGAGGCCCCGCCGACTATTGAAGCTTCTCCTAAGCAGCCTTTGTGAAGGCTCCTTCTTGTATTTATCTGCTCAATGTTCCTTTCCTTTTTTTTTTATGAATGAAAAAAATATCTTGCAAGAAGTTGTGGTAGAGATTGCAAAATCATTACCTGCATAAAGGAACAAAAGTAGGACTTAAACACACAAACTAGAAAACAAGAGAAAAACAGAACAAGAACATTTAAAATTATTCAAAATAAAAATGAAAGATAGAAAGCTTGGGTTGCCTCCCAAGAAGCGCTTTAGTTACTGTCTAGAGCTAGACATTCTGTTGGCAGCTTGATTCAAATAACAGGTTCCTTCAAAGTGATGGAATCCTTAGCAAGATCATATGGAGACTCCTTGTATAACTTCAAGCGATGTCCATTAACTTTGAAGACAAAACCAATTTGCATGTTTTGGATATCCACAGCCCCATGAAGATGGACCTGTACAACACGATATGGACCATTCCAACGTGATTTGAGCTTTCCTGGGAATAGTTTCAATATTGAATTAAAAAGCAAAACCTTCTGGCCCGGTTGAAACTCTTTACGAAGGATGTGAGCATCATGAAATTTCTTGGTCTTATCCTTGTAAATATTTGCATTCTCATAAGCATCATTCCTTATTTCTTCCAGTTCATTCAACTGCAGCTTTCGTTTCTCTCCCGCTGCTTGGTAGTCAAAATTGAGGTGCTTAATAGCCCACTATGCCTTGTGCTCAAGTTCCATAGGTAGATGACAAGCTTTCCCATACACCAAACGAAAAGGAGACATCCCAATTGGTGTCTTATAAGCTGTCCTATATGCCCACAAAGCATCAGTAAGCTTTAAACTCCAATCCTTTCGAGATGAACTGACTGTTTTCTCAAGAATCCTCTTGAGCTCCCGATTAGATACTTCAACTTGTCCAGATGTCTGTGGATGGTATGGAGTGGCTATGCGATGGTGAATATGATACTTGGCACAAAGGGAGGCCATGGTGCGGTTTAAGAAGTGCGTACCTTCGTCACTGATGATAGCACGAGGTACTCCAAATCGGGGAAAAATAATATTCTGCAAGAAACCGAACACCACAGAACTTTTGCATGTTGGAGAAGCTATTGCCTCCACCCACTTAGAGACATAATCAACCGCCACCAAGATGTAGAGATTGCCATGTGAAGACGGGAAAGGTCCCATGAAGTCTATACCCCAAACATCAAATAATTCAATCACCAAAATACTTTGTTGGGGCATCTCATTTCTCTGAGAAAGATTTCCAACTCTTTGACACTTATCACAAGCCTGGCAGCATAGGTATGCATCTTTGAATAAAGATGGCCAAAAGAAACCACTCTGTAAGATCTTGGCCGCTGTCCTTCTTGGTCCAAAATGACCACCACATGCATAGTGGTGAGCAAACTTCAAAATGCTTTCTTGTTCTTCAAAGGGGACACACCGACGAATGATTTGATCTTGGCAATGCTTGAAAAGGTATGGCTCATCCCAAAAGTAGTGTTTTACAGTGGAGAGGAATTTCTTCCTTTGTTGGTAACTGAACTCTGATGGTATTTCTCCAGATGCCAAATAATTTGCGATGTCAGCATACCATGGTACTTGATGAGTAACCGCTAGAAGTTGCTCGTCTGGAAAGCTCTCTTGCAGGGGCAATGAATCTGCCTCATCAGTGCTTGCATTTACTAATCTTGAGAGATGATCCGCCACAACATTTTCACGTCCCTTTTTATCTAGGATCTCCAAATCAAACTCTTGCAAGAGAAGGACCAATCGAAGCAATCGTGGTTTGGCCTCTTTTTTAGACAATAAGTACTTGAGAGCAGAATGAGAATACACAATGACTTTAGCACCAACTAAGTACGATCGAAACTTTTCAAGAGCAAATACCACTGCAAGTAATTCTTTTTCTGTAGTGGCATAATTCAGCTGAGCATCATTCAAAGTGCGGCTGGCATAATATATAACATGGGGGAGCTTGTCATGTCGCTGACCAAGAACAGCACCCACAGCGTAATCGGAAGCATCGCACATGAGCTCAAAAGGAAGGGTCAAATCTTGAGCTGTTATAATTGGGGCTGATGTGAGAAGATCCTTCAATTTGTTGAAAGCATCATGACAATCTGCATTAAAATCAAAACAAGCATCTTTAGCAAGTAAATTACAAAGAGGACGACTAATTTTGGAAAAATCCTTGATGAATCTTCGATAAAAACCAGCATGTCCCAAGAAAGATCTCACATTCTTCACAGAAGTTGGTGGTGGTAATTTGACGATCACCTCAATCTTTGCCTTGTCAACCTCTATTCCTTTGCTTGAAATCAGATGTCCTAGCACAATGCCATGCTTAACCATAAAATGGCATTTCTCCCAATTTAACACAAGATTAGTCTCCCTGCATCTTTCCAAAACCAAAGACAAGTTATCCAAACATATATCAAAAGAATTACCAAAAACAGAAAAGTCATCCATAAAAACCTCGACAATATTTTCAACCATTCCAGAAAAAATACTCATCATGCATCGTTGGAAAGTGGCAGGGGCATTGCACAATCCAAATGGCATCCGTCTGTATGCAAATGTACCAAAAGGGCATGTAAACGTTGTCTTCTCTTGATCCTCAGGGGAAATTGGAATTTGGTTGTACCCTGAATAACCATCTAAGAAACAATAGAAAGAATGACCAGCTAGTCTCTTGAGCATCTGATCAATGAATGGCAGCGGGAAATGATCCTTTCTAGTGCTGTTATTGGGCTTTCTATAGTCAACACACATTCGCCATCCGGTGGTCATCCTTGTAGGCACAAGCTCATTGTTATCATTCTTCACCACAGTAATACCAGTTTTCTTTGGAACCACCTGAGTTGGGCTCACCCATTTGCTATCCGAGATTGGATAAATGATACCTGCATCGAGTAACTTCATCACCTCAACTCTTACAACTTCCTTCATGATCGGATTTAGACGTCTTTGAGCTTCAACAGTTGGTTTAGTCCCAGCCTCCATAAAAATCCTATGCATGCACAAAGCTGGACTAATGCCTTTTATGTCAGCAAGTGTCCACCCCAGAGCATCTTGATACTTGCGAAGAACTCTTAGTAATTTGTCTTCCTCCGTGTCATTAAGATCAGCAGCAATAATAACTGGCAAGGTCTCATCCCCGAGATGAGCATACTTGAGGTGGCTCGGCAGTAGCTTGAGCTCTAACTTCGGAGCTTGCTCACTTGAAGGAAGAAGGGGCTGCTTAGGCACTCCAAGGCTTTCATAAACATGTCGCCACTTTGGATTATGAATTGGTGCACTATCCAATGCAGCGATGACGTCCACCACATTTTCTTCCATAGATAAAGTAGCATCATGGTTGGTGATGCAAGTTAACAGCTCATCATTAGATGATCTTGAGGCAAAGTTTGCATGCACAATCCCATCCAAAACATCAACACGAAAACACTCTTCAGGTTCGAAAGGACGCTTGACAGCTTCAAAGAGTTTGAATACAACTGACTTTCCTTGCACTCTTAAGGTTAAAGTACCTACTTCCACATCAATAAGTGTCCGGGCGGTGGCCATGAACGGTCGGCCTAAAATGAGAGGCACTTCCTTGTCTTCCTCCATGTCAAGTACAATGAAATCAGCTGGGAGATAGAATTTATCCACTTTAATAATCACATTTTCCAGAATACCCAAATGATAGGTCACAAACCTATCTGCCAATTGAAGACTCACAGATGTGGGCTTGAGTTCTCCTTCACCTAATTTTTGAAAAACAGAATAAGGCATAAGGTTAACACTTGCTCCTAAATCAATCAATACTTTATGAAAATCAAGACTACCAATAGTACAAGAGATAGTGAAACTCCCCGGATCTTTTTTCTTGGGTGGTAGCTTATGTAAGAGGACAGCACTGCATTGCTCAGATAAAATCACCTTCTCGTATTCCAAGAACTTTTTCTTTTTAGAGCATAGCTCCTTCAGAAATTTGGCATATGATGGGATCTGTTTAATAGCATCTAATAGAGGCAAATTAATTTGAACCTTAGCCAACGTCTTCATGAATTCAATGCATTGTTGATCCTTGGAACGTTGTTGCTGCCTTTGTGGAAATGGCAAAGGTGGCTTGTATGGTGGCTTGTCAGAAGGTGCAAATAAAATACCAAGGCCTTTTTCCTTGTTTGCATCAGAGTTGCGTCGAGATTGCACATTGTCACTTGCACTAGGATTTGGAATACCTGCTTCAGAAATAGCCTCTGACCGAGACTTTGCAGCTAATGGTGCACTTTCAGTAAGCTCTTCTTCTTCCACTTCGGCTTCATGGTGCTCCACTTCTCTGTTGTCATAGCTCTTGCCACTTTTCAATGTCCGTATTACTTTGCAATGCTCCATCCCTCTTGGATTTTGCTCAGATTGGCTTGGAAACTTTCCTTTCTCTCTTTCATTGAACATGGTAGCAAGCTGTCCAACTTGAGTCTCCAAATTCCCCACTGATGCCGTGAGATTCTGAATGCTAGTTTGTGTGGATTGGACAAAATTGCTGGTGGTATTAGAGAGAGCGGACATATGTTGAGCTAGCTGTGACATTTGGTCTTCAAGAGATGGTTTCTTAGTCTCACCAGTTGATTGGTAAGACTGTTGGTATTGACGTGGCTGTTGGTTGCCGCCCCAACTGAGATTGGGATGGTTCTTCCACCCAGGATTATATGTATTTGAATAAGGGTCACTTCTGGGTCTAATGAAATTATTCACCATATTCACATGCTCTTGCACAAGCTCAGGGTAGCTATCCTTGTTGGGGCATTGAGTGATGTCATGAGTTGTCGCACTACAAATGATGCACGCTTCTGGGGCATTGGGCATGGAAGAGACCTGCATTAAGGCAGCAAATTTGGCATTAAAATTCTTTTCCATTTTAGCAATTTGAGCAGAAACATTAGAAGAACTCTGAGAAATCTCAAAAACTCCCCTCTTTTGTGTTTGTTCTTCTGTCCATTGTTGGGATTCAGAAGCCATCATATCAAATAACTCAAATGCTTCCCTTGCTGATTTTGACATTAATGACCCTCCAGCAGATGCATTCACGTGACTCTTGGTGGTGGCATTGAGACCATCATAAAATATGTTCATTTGAAGGTTAGAATCAAACCCAGCATGAGGACATTTTGTGTACATCTCATTATACCGTTCCCAAGCTTCATGGAAAGACTCATTTGGCTTTTGAGCGAAAGCCAATATCTCTTTCTTGAGTGCAAGCGTCTTGGAAGAAGGAAAAAACTTATTGAGAAATCTTTCTTGCAATTATGTCCATGTTGTAATGCTATTGGCAGGCAGAGAATGCAGCCACGCCTTGGCTTTGTCCTTCAAAGAGAATAGGAACAAACGTAACTTGATAGCTTCAGAAGAGAAACCTCTGATTATGGTGTTGTCACATGCCTCAATAAAATCAACCAAATGCATGTTGGGATCACTGTTTGGCAACCCATGAAAGGATGGCAATATGTTGAGGATGTGAGGTTTGATTTCAAAGGATGCCCCATCTGGATATATAATGCACCTTGGCACTGCATTGATTCTCGCCGCCAATGAATTCCTTAAAGGTTGACCTGCTGCAGGTAAGGCTAGGGCCATGTGTGCAACTGGTGTCAAAGGTTGGAAAATAGATTTACTGCTCTCAGGATCACGGAACAAATCCTTAAGAAAAGTATCACCAAGGTTGGAATTTTGTGCTAAATATTTTTCTCGAGCTAACTTCCTTGCACTTCTCTCTGGTTCAGGGTCGTAAGGAATAAGCACTTGATTCTTGGACCTTGTTCCAATAACCATATACTACACCTGAACAAACAATAGAAATAGTAAGCCACAATAAAAATAAAAGTAAAATAAAATAAAACTTAACAGAAATTAACTAAACAACAAAAACAAAAACAAAAAGAAGTAAGTAAACCTAGATGAATTAAAAACACAATTTATGCAAATTGGCAACCACTAGTTAATTAAACGAAGACAAAAATCTCACACCACACATCCACTACACTTAATCAAAGATCAAAACTCAACTAAATTACCCAACTAAAGTAAATTTTTTTTTTTAATTTAATTTATTTCGACCCACTGCAGATAAGTTACAAAACGACATCAAAACCATCACTCACCTCTTCCACTGCTCCCCCTCCAGCATGAGAGACAAAAGAAAGACCCATCACGTGGGTCATTGTCACTTTATAAAAATAAAATGAAATAAATATGTTGTGATTCTGCATAACTGAAATATTATTAATTTGATTTTTCTATAAATTTTATTTTTTTATTTTTTTATTTTTTTATATTTTAATGATTAATAAAAATGAGACATAAACATAAGCATAAGAAAAATAAACACAAAAGCTCGGGAACTGTTGGCACAGTCCCCAGCAACGGCGCCAATTTCTTGATAGCGATTTTACCACTTGTAAGACAAAGGGTTAAACCATAGAAAATTCTTGCAAGAGAACAAGTGTTTGTAGCAAGGTCGATCTCCTCAGGGACTGATATAAACAATTTACGAGTTTTTGTGTATTTAACTTATTTAACTCTAAGAATTACACTAATTTGACGAAACTAAATATTACTGGATGTGACTTAAACAAATATCTAAAATGGGAATTGGTTTATGGGAATAATGATTCAACTTAAACAAAACAAGCAAATAAGGAAATTCAAAATAAAATAAATGATTGAAGAAAAATAGATTGACAATATGCTAGAGTTCAACCTTTACCAACAACACTCCTACGTAGCTATTCCAATTGCTTAAATAATAATTGAAAACATACATGCTTTGAAGGTTGGATTTTTCCTTTTGTATGTTTTTACTTGTGACATTCAAGCTAAAACGCATACCACTACATGCAACTTATCCATGACATTTGGATTAAATATAAACATGAGTGATTCATTAATCTTGGTGAAAATCCTTTTGTTAAACCATATAATCCCTAAGATGATATTTACCTTAGGAGAGTACAATTCTCAATCACAAGAAGCACAACCAATTTTAACGTGACATTCGTTCAAAATTACATCCGATAACTTTTCTAAGCATCCTAATGGTGATCAAGCATCAAGGTACGTAGATAGTTTAATTCAGTGATTGAAAATATCAAAGCAAGCATGTAACAACACTTAAGCAATTGAAAAATAAACTACGTATTCATATTGCGGCTCATGGCCTCACTCTAGCATAATAAATTAGTTACACATAATTATGTTCATACATATAGAAATTATCCATAAAACAAAAAATAACAAAGAAAGAAAACACCCGTTTTAACGAGATGAGCTCTCCGTTGCTCCTGACTTCCCTGCGCCTGGTCACTGCCTTCCTCTTGCTGCGTACTTCCGTCTCGTTCCTGCGCATGTACTGCTCTCACCTCCCCGCTCGATCTCCCCCGTCTGCTCTGTTATGCTCCCTTATATTATTTCCCCTTTTCTTCCTTTTGCCGTGCTATCCCCTCTGTCATTCTTTTCCTTTTGCTTTTGATGCCGTGCTCTTCTGCCATCCTTTGCTCTTATTTTTTCTTTTATTCTTCTTCTGTCACTCCATGTGTCTTCTCTTTTCTTATTCTTTTCTGTTCTTTTATTCTTCCACTCATCTCTGTCTGCTATTCTTCTTTCTGTCCATGTTCCATCCTCTTTCTCCTGCTTTATTTTCTCTCATGTCGTGGTCTCTTCCTCTCTTTTAGTCTCTCTGTCCCGCCTTTTTCTTATTTTTATCCTTTCTTTTCTCTTTTCTGCTTCTTATTTTCTTTGATGCCGTGCTGCCATCCTTCATGTGCCTTTTGCCCTTTCTTTTCTTTAACAAAATGGGCCATGATATGATCAAGCACCAAGGCTACAAGTGGAAGGCCAACTCATCCCACTCTTTTCTACCATCTTTTCTTTCCCACATCCGTGTGCTGCCCTCTTGTGTGCTGCCCTCCTGTCATTCTTTGTCCGTGTCTTCTCTTTTCTTCATTTTAATTGAAATTGATCCTAAAATAAATTTAACTTCACATTAACACAAGGTAAGGTAAAATACCACAATTTTAACACAAAAACATCACAAAGATTTTAGAAATGGATGGTATAAATGCATGAAATATATGAGTGATCAAATGCACATCAAAATCCTTCCAAATTATCTATTCTAAAATTGAGGAATGAATTGACTGTAGCTTAGCTACAATCACAAGTTTGCCATCCAATTTCACCTTATTTACAAAAAACCCATCTCATTTGGGCTAGTATTAGGGTTGAGTTGTTTTGGGCTGCTCATGATACTTTCCCTAGGTTTTCTTTTTTGTTGGTGTGAGGCCGGCCCTTTGGGAGTCTAAATGACGAGATTGCCCATATGGGCTTCAGATCGCACCATCAGGATTACAATTTAGAGGGGTGGATTCGTCATTTCATTCTTGGGGTTTCAGAGGGATTGAGGTTAAGTTGTTCCCAGCATTTCCTCCTTCTTTCTTCAACCTAGCCGTGATAGAGAGACAGAGAGACAGAGAGATAGAGACAGAGAGCGAGACGAGAGAGGTAGTGGTCGGGATGACTGCCCATCTATGCTTTAGATCACACGATGAGGATTACAAGTTAGAGGGTGGAGTCGTCATTTCGTTCTTGGGGTTTCAAAGGGATTGGGATTAGGTTGTTCCCCATTATTTAGTTCTTCTTTGTTCAACCTATGCCGTCACAGAGAGACAGAGAGATAAAGACAGATAGAGAGAGAAAGAGAGAGAGAGAGCAGGAAGGAAGAGGTAGGGTTGGGATCACTGCTCATTCTTTGTTGCATTGTCAGATAAGTGCTGTTTCAACTTATATTTTGTACCAATTTTTTTATTTTATTGTTTCTTGCATTTATGGTTGCGTGCATGTGGTGATTGAAAGGTCAAAAAAAAAATTTGCAAATCTTTTTTCCATGTTTGTTTAGGTTAGGCTAGGCTTCTGTATTTTTTTTTAATCAATTTGGGGATTTTCTGGGTCTCTATATACTTGGTCGCTTTTGGGTTTTTTTTCTTATTCTCGGTTCCTGTCTGTCTGAAAAAATTTCCAAGGTTCATTCCTTAACTTTTTTTACGTTTTCAATTTTTTCATCTGAGCTTTGCCATTCATGTTTGATTACAATATTTATGGTTGTAATAAACTCTTTAAGTGTATTGTTAGCTTTTGTTTAGACTGTTGTTAGTTGTTAAGTTGCTGCCATTTTTTGGTAATTAGTTTAAAAAAAATTTTAAAGAAGTTTTTGTTCTGTGATTTGAATTGGAACAAAATTAGTAAACACAAAAGACTGATTTACAATCTGTGATTTTCTTAAAAGAATGCCATTTTTAAATTGAGCTCTGTTTTAAATTATTTATATTTGTGCCTCTGTACTGTGTATGTGCATATATGTGTGTATGTGCAAATATTTATGCATGTAATAAACCCTTTCGCCGTATTGTTAGTTTCTGTTTAGACTGTTCTTAGTTGTTGTTAAGTTGCTACCATTTGTTGGTAATTAGTCTTATGTTTTTTTTAAGAAGTTTTTGTTCTGGGATTTGAATTGGTAATTAGTGTGTAAAACCCTTTGACCAATTTGAATACGATGTTTTTATTTCAATTGTTTGAGAATAAGAAAACTAACAGTTCTTCTCTTTTTTATGGATTGCAGAAATTGTACCGCCAACTCGGGATTTTGCATTACAGGTTTCATTCACTAACCCTAAATTTTTAATGTTGTGCGACTATAACTGTTTGTGGCTTACTTATTTGTGTTGTCCAAAATATTTTTGTGTGGTTTGTGCAAAACGTTTTTCATATGGTGTTTATTATTGGACAACGATGTGATTAATTAGGATTCTTTCAAAAACCTTTAAAAAAACGTAGCTCCTTGTAACTGTTTGTGGATTAATCTAGGTTTCATTTTCCGTATGTGTTTATCTTTTGCCATTGAATTTTATAAATGTATGTGTTTATCTTTTGCCAATGAATTTTAGAGTGTTGTTAGTTGTTGTTAAGTTGCTGCCATTTTTTGGTGATTAGCATTAAAAACTTTTTTTTAAAGAAGTTTTTGTTTTGTGATTTGAATTGGAACCCTTGAACTAAACATGTTTTTAGAGTGTGTACATCTATATGTATGTCTGTGTACATGTAAAAAACTCTTTAACTAACTACACATATTTTTACAATTGTGAAACACTCCCATTTGCTGAAAAGTGCAGTTTATATGTGTGCATGTGTATAAATGTATGTGCAAGTATATGTATCAGTATATACCTAAATATACGTTTAGATATATGTATAAGCATCTGTATAATTATATGTATATCTGTGTGCATGTATATATGTATGTATGCATCTGTGTGTGTATCTACATGTATGTGTATGTATGTATGCATCTGTGTGTGTATGTGTATGCATACATCTGTATATATGCATCTTTTTCTGTCATACATGTGTATGTATGCATGCATCTGTGTGTGTATGTACATGTAGATGTGTGTATATGTAAGGTTTAGGGTTTAGATAGTTTGTGTCTGGAGTTTGTGGTCTTTAATGTTTAGGGAAAATTTCGAAGTTAGTTATTGTTACGGGATTAGTGGTGATGGATTTCCTATGTTTGTGAATTTCAGAAATTTGGATACTCGAAGGGAACACATGGGGCTTTGGCTTTTTGAGGTATATTTATTCATAGCGGTTTTGTAACTATAGAATGTTATTTCTTTAAAGGTTTAAAGGTGCAAGTATAGAATGTCATTGCAACTTTTGTCAACGTAAAACTTTCCTTCAAGTAATTTCGATTGTATATTGGCTCTCGATGTCCACTTAATAGAGTAGCAATGTAAATTGAACTGTTTATTTTATGTATCAATTCACCTATCTCTTACCTTTTCTTTCATTTGGAGATGATTGTCTAAATGTGTGGTCTTGTGAGCGTTACTCATGTAAAACGCACGTTATCTGAATTGATACATTTAAGAATGTGAATGTATTGCTGTAGCATTTTTAGTTAATTTTTCTATGAATATTATACATGGTTTGAATACCTGCAGTAAAGCGCGAACATTCGTGCTAGTAAACTCTATTTAAATGATAGCTATTCTCCTCTTTGTATTTCTATATATAAATAATAAAAAATAACCGTACTTGTCATGACTAGTACTCACTGAATTATTAGCCTCATGATTCTTTCCATTTTCGTAATGGTTTGAACCCAACA